AAAAAAAAAAAAAGAAGAAAGTTTAACCCCTAATTTAATCCCATAGTTTAATGTGGCCGTAATGTCTGCCTGCTGTTTGGCAGACACTGGTTTCCCAGAATGTTCCTCCTATCAGGACTTTTGCCCTAGAGAGAGGCGCCCTGCCTGACTGTACATTTAGTTTGACCAGCAGGAACCCTGGGTGCTAGGAACAAGGAGGACGGGGGATCCCACAGTCCTTTATATTCATATAATGACATCATGTAGTTGAATTTGTTTGGGAGTCCGGTAGTAGTGGAGGCTGGGGTCTGCACAAGGTAGGTAGGTGTTCTAGAGACTCATCTAGGTCTTTGATAGCCATTACTCTGTAAAAGAAGTTTCAGGTACTCTGTCTCATGAGTCAGCAGAATATCTGTAGAGAGCCCCAGCTGAGAGACCAGGAAACCTGGATTTTAGTCTCCATTCTATTCTACTATAAAAAGCCATATGGAAGCCCTCACTGGTGGCACAATGGGTTAAAGCACAGCACTGTGACACTAGAAGCAGCCACTTCACGAGTTTGATCCCCAACCAGGGAGGTGACCCATATGGCATGGCAGTCCTCTCCTGACCTACCTGCTGCTCCCCTCAGCAGTGTACTTCATCCATCAGCCTGCTCTGCTCCGCACTCTGTCTCTGGTGAACACTTTCACTGTCCCTGCACCTCTGGCCTGTACTCTAGCTTTGTATGCATAAATAAATAAATCTTAAAAAAAAAAAAAAACTACATGGGGTTGGAGGAGAGGAACAGGGGACAGCTATATGACTTACCTCTCTGAGACTCAGCTTTCAACTATTTTTAAAAAAGATTTACTTACTTATGCATACAGAGCTGGGGTAAAGGCCAGAGGTGCAGGGTCAGTGAAAGGATTCACCAGAGACAGAGTGCGGAGCGGAACAGGCCGACTCATGAAGTACACTGCTGAGGGGAGCAGAGGGCGGGTCAGGAGAGGTCTGCTGTGCCTCCGTGTAGGTCACCTCCAGGGCAGAGTTCAAACTCATGCTGAAATGGCTTTAGTTTCTTAGTGCTGTGCTTTAACCCCCTGTGCCACAAGGGAGGGCCCAGCTTTCAACTATTTTTAAATAAGGGATTCAAGAATATACTTATAAAATCTCTTCCAGTCTTGCCATTCTGGATTTCAGCAGAGAGTGTATTGTTTCGGATCTCTCTCTCTCTCAATAAGTTGTGTGTAGTTTCTTAAAAAGCATTACAGTCTTGGGCCCTCCCTGGTGGCGCAGCTGGTTAAAGCACAGCATTAAGAAGCTAAAGCCATTTCAACATAAGCTTGATTCCTGCCCTGGAGGTGATCCATATGGCGTGGCAGACCTCTCCTGGCCTGCCCGCTGCTCCCCTCAGCAGTGTACTTTGTCAGACTACCTATTCTACTCCTCACTCTGTCTCTGGTGAATCCTCTCACTGCCCCTACAGCTCTGGCCTATTCCCCAGTTCTGTATGCATAAATAAATAAATCTTTAAAAGAAAAAAGCCATTATAAATTGCAAAATGTCCTAAGTCAGAATGCTTTTCATACTCCTCATCTACCAAACATTGCTCAGCCTAACCTCCCTTAAACATGCTTAGAACACTTATGTTAGCCTATAGTTGTGCAAAATCATCTATCATAAGCCTATTTAGAGGAGAGCATTGACTATCTCATGTAATTTATTTACTACTGTTTTGAGGGCAAGAAATGGGACAATTGCCTGGCTTCTCACCATTAACATGCCCTCCTGATAGCATGGCTGACTAGGAGCATCACAAAGAACATCCTACGCAATGTTGCTATATGGGAAAAGATAAAAATTCAAAATTTAAACTACAAGTTCTGCAGGGTGTTTATTGATTTAACGCCATCTAAAAGTGAAAAAATAAAAAAAAGTAAGTGAAGCTGCAGAAGTCTTGAAACTTGTTAAGGTAGGGATGGTCTGGAATTTGGTTGACACCCTCTAAAGTTATTGTCATGTGTTTCTTCATGTTGTCCCATCACCTTGTGACTGTTCCAGCCTTCTTTTCTTTACTTGGATTGGATGAAATTCCTTTTTTTTTTCTTGAAGATTTATTTATTTATGCATACAGAATTGGGGTACAGGCCAGAGGTGCAGGGGCAGTGAGAGGATTCACCAGAGACAGAGTGGGGAGCAGAACAGACCAACTGATGAAGTACACTGCTGAGGGGAGCAGCGGGTGGGTCTGCCACACCATGTGGGTCACCACCTGGGCGGGGATCAAACTCATGGTAAAGTGGCATTAGCTTCTCAGTGTTTTAACCTGCTGAGCCACCAGGGAGGCCCCGAAATTCCCTTTTATTAACAACGTCCAGAGTTGCAACTGGAGTTACTTCCTCCCACCATGTTAAAGAAGGATCTGTCTTAAGGCTTCCATTTCTACGGGACTTGGGGCACGCAATGTTGTCAGGCCGCTTTACCACACCTCAGAGATTTCAGTTGTATGTTCCTCAAAGGTACGAGCTTTATCGTGCTTTCTGTTTTTCTTTTTATATTCACCCCTTGCAGCTTGCTTGTTCAAGGCAGTCCTTGTTTAATAAATCTCTTACTTAGGAATAAAATGGTATTGTTCTTAGTTCCCCCCAAACCACTAGGTGTCGCCTTTGTCTCAGAGAAACTACTCTCGCCCCTCCCGCATTCGCCCCCGCGGGCCCCTCCTTTCCCCCCCAACCATGAGCTCTCCCCGCCTCTTGGCACTGTGATTTTTAGAGTAGTGACTTGAAGGAGGGGGACAAATTGTGGCTGTCAGCTAGGGGAGGAGAATGAGTTTATGTGCATGTCCTTCATGACAATTTGAGAAAAACTCCCCAAGGGCCTATAGCAGACCCTCCCAGCAACCATGACATCATCCCTCACAAGCTGTTACTCAGATCAGCACTCCAGATAGGGGCTATTTGGGGTGAGCTTTTGAGGTGGAACCCAGGGGGGCTACAAAGGACTTCCATTACGGGTGGAATGTTCTGCTTAGTTAGTCTGTGAGCTTTTATCACGTGCAAGCCTGTGCTGAGCAGGGAGACAAAAGAGGCTGTTCCCCCGCTCCTGCCTTGGAGCAGATGGTGTGGTAGAAGCGCAGTGGAGTTTGGGGGGGGGGGGTTCTGAGGACAACGGAAGTCACAAGAGGGGCATGGGGACAGCAAGAGGGTGACTGGAAGACCTCCTAAGCACTGAGGAGGAAAGATCATCCATCATCCGGAGTCCCTTGCGCCTGGAAGGGCCTGTATTCCGGTGCCGGCTTTTTTTGCTGTTGAGGGAGTGAGGGGTTCCCGGCCTAGAGAAGGGGGGTGTATGGCTTACCAGGTGGAGACCTTGTGGAGATACCAAATATTGGGGGGTTCCTGACGGTTTCCTGCAATCTGAAGTGTCTGAGGGATTCAAAATGTTTGAGACTTAAGAGAAGGAACCCCAAGACAATCAGGATAGAAGAAGAGGAGAGGAGAGGCCCCAAGCTTCTGGGAATGTGTGAGATGCAGGCAGCAGAGAGCTGGCCTGGGGGTCGGGGGGGGGGGGGGGGG